CGCTTCGCTCTGAATCGGGACGTGGTTCTGGCGAGTCTGCTGTATACGGCGTATACGGTACATCTGCTGGGCAAGCTAGTTGGCGTGGACTGTCTGAGCCTGATGGCTGGCGAAGTGGAGCATTTGGTGATGCGCTTGGAGGCATGTAAACCCTTGGGTCTTGGGTTTCTTTCCTGGATGGACCAGCAGCGACGTGTACTGGAGCTGGCCTCGTGCGGAGTCGGGGAGCGTGAGTGTTGTCCTTGCCTCTTGGGGCCTCCCTACCTCCGGGACTTCATCTCTGTCATGCCGGGGGCGGACGAGAGAGATCTTTCGTTGGTGCTGTGGCAGCAGTACCGGACTTCTCCGTCAGGCGTTAGCTGAGATGAACACCAGCGGTGGCTGGACAAGGTGCGCGTAGCCAATTGGCGAGAGGTGCTTTGTACCGGGTTGTGACCTCTTCGCATCTCGTGTGCGATGGAACAAGTTGTGGAACAATCCAGTATGGAGGCGGAGTGTAGAACCAGAGATATTGCATAAACAGCGTGATGAAACGTGATGTGAACCATGAATGAAGTGAAAGTGTGGAACAAGCAATTGAATGGAGTGAAAGTGTGGAGTAACCACCAAGAATCATCGTGAGATGACATAAACACTGAGAAAGTGTGGCCTCAAACTAGAAGATGCGTGTCGCTAAGACATGCTTACACTACTTAATCCGCATGCTGTCGGAAAAGATGGCTAGAGTTCCGGATCCGCGGGGTACGGGGCGGCAGCCCTGTGCAGCTCGAGCGTAGCGACGCTGCTTAATACACGAGAGTGAATGATGAAATCATATTTTCTACTCACAGAGAGAAACCATGGCTATGCAACAACAAACACAGAGTGTGGGAGCGTGGCTGACGCCGAAGGTGGCATGGCGCGTGACCAACAGACGGACGAGGCGACGGCGAGCCAAGGGGTCGTCGTCAACGAAGTTCGTTGACCAAAGTGGATACGACAGGGAATAATTTGGCCTTTGGACGAATCAGAACGCCCATCTAGCGAGCATTTGGTGCGAGCTCTGTATGATTCACTTGTAAGATGGGCGTTGACCGTTGACGCGGGTGGGTCCTGACCCCCCGCTTACCTTCCAATCAGAACTGGGCCTGCTGGCCCAGTCTGGTTACCTATTTGGGACGAAACTGGGTCAGTTTCTACCACCTTCGAAGATACTAAAGGAAGGGCTGGGGCCCTTCCAAGAATGGGAGGGTCGAGCATTTCTTTCCTTCTATTTTATTTTTCCGGGGGAAACAACAGTGGAGCGGCAACACGGGGTGCAGCAACGACGGGAGGGTTGCGCTTTCTTTCTTTTTCTTTCTTCTTTTCTCCGGAGGAGTTATGAGGGCGAGAGAGGAGCCCTCTTCGCTGTCGGAAGACATGGAGGAGACGGACGGGTGTCTGTTTCTGGGGCCTCGGAGGGTCCTGGAGACGTGGTTCACCGCGGTCGGAGATGATGGGCAGGCTGCTGGGGCTGCCTACCTTCCCGTCGTGGACGAGGGGTCGCACGCTGTGGCGTGGGGGAAGCGGAGGCTGACAAGCTGTTCTCCGGAGGAGGTGAGTGATCTCGTGTCCGCTATGGCGGATGTCTTTGGTCTGGACACGGCTCTGGTGGCCGTGGACTTGTCCGGCGGGACGCTGGTGGAGTGTTTGTGTCGCTGGGCGGCGCAGACGAATGTTCGGGTGCGCGTGATGAGATACCCGGCCGCGGTGGAGCGGGTGACCACGGAGGCCCAGATGGGCTTTCAGTACGTGGAGTGGCTCGTGAAGCGTATGCATTGGCTTGTGCATCAGCTGGTGCGCGGAGCTCATGGCGATGAGCCGACGAAGAGAGACCGGAGGATGTGGGGAGAGATCCTGGCTGCGACGAAGTGCGCTGTTGTCAAGAAGAGTAGCTGGACGCCGGAGGCGCTTTTTCACCTGATGGATCGTCATTGCACACCTGCGCAGTGGCAGTACGGCAACCTGGTGTGTTGCCTTGAGGCTATTCACTGTGTAGGGATTGTCTTCCAGACACCTGTTGGCTTTGCGAGCAGTGCGAGGCGGGCCTTACGGCTGTTGAGTTTGGTGGCTCACGCGATCGAGATGCAGGAGGCGGAGCTGACCCAGACCATGGATGGCAGATGGTATGTGCGCAGGATCGATGGTGTTCCCTGGTCTATGGGGTATGACCAGCCTTGCTAGCGACATCGTGAGAATGTTGTAGGTCGTCTTTGCATGATGTTGCTTCGGTTTGTAGTATGTCGGTGACGTAGTAGTGTTGCGAGGGCCGAACGAGCTTGACAGTCTGGGGATCAGTGGACGGAGGATGCACACGTGAGTGGGCAGTGTGGAGATTTGTCGTGACCATAGCATGAGCGGTGCAGAGGAACCACAAGTAGCGTGGGCAGTCTTGTGAAATGAATGAAATGACTAGTGGAACCAACAATGAGCGGAGTGATTGAACTAAAAGGTGGAGTAAACCACCCAAAAACATCGTGAGATCCTGCAAACGCTGTGTGTGTGCAGCTTCATTCAATCCAAGATGCGTGCCTTCAAGCATGCTTTCGGTCTGGTACCGATAAATTCCTTAAAAAGAGAGCTAGAGTTCCGGATCCGCGGGGTACGGGGCGGCAGCCCTGTGCCACACGAGCGTAGCGACGCTGCTTAATACACGGAAGTGAAATGATGAAATCATATTGTCTACTACTAGAGAGACATAATGGATATGCAACAACAAACACAGAGTGTGGGAGCGTGGCTGACGCCGAAGGTGGCATGGCGCGTGACCAACAGACGGACGAGGCGACGGCGAGCCAAGGGGTCGTCGTCAACGAAGTTCGTTGACCAAAGTGGATACGACAGGGAATAATTTGGCCTTTGGACGAATCAGAACGCCCATCTAGCGAGCATTTGGTGCGAGCTCTGTATGATTCACTTGTAAGATGGGCGTTGACCGTTGACGAGAGTGGGTCCTTGGACCTACCTCGCTACCCAATGAGAAGTGGGCCTGCTGGCCCAGTTCGAACACCGAAAAAGGATTAGTGTGCGTGCACACAATCCGCACATTCCTTGGAAGTACAAAGGAAGGGCTGGGGCCCTTCCAAGAACAGAGCAAAGGAGTTCTCTTTCTTCCTTCTCTTTCTCGGGGAGAAACAACAAAGGGACGACTAGCCAGGATGGCCGAACACGCGAGTATATATGCGGTGCTGGGAGCAGGCGGGGACATGCTCCTTTCGTCCAAGATGGGCTTGGAGGGGATCGAGACGGACTGTGGTCGGCGAGGACCTTTATTGACACGGCGCAGTACGACGGTGGCTTGTGAGTATTTCCGGAGGAAGACTGAACCCACTGGGTGGGTGAGTGCTGAGGTAGCAGCGGGCGCGAGAGGTGCTGTGGCATGATGGTGCTGTTCGGGAAGGACAGGGCGAGGGCGAGCTGGGTCTCGACCCTATGCAAGCGCGTGTACGATGTGGACATGTACATGCAGCCGAGAGGGCGGAAGAAGGGGCAGGCATCGACGTATGACTGGCGCCGGGTGAGGCAGGTGGATGCCGAACTCTTTAGGCGGAGCATGCAGGAAGGTGCGATGGAGGCTGTTGCCGTGCACAGGTGTGATGGGCCGCACCGGGGGTCGGCGTGCCAACCCGTGATCCTGGCGAAGGAGCGACTGCACGCGTGTGCGTTTCACCGGTTTGCCTATGGGCACCGTCTTTTTGCTAAGACGGATGGTATCCACCGGGTGGACATGGATAATTTCATCCAGCAGCAGCGATATTGTCTCGGGGATGTGCGGGACGCATCTTTTGTTCAGGTTTGGACGATGGACATGCAGGTTCATCGTGCACGCTCTGTCGAGGATGACGGTGTTTGGATCATTAGCGCGAGGCCTGCGGTGGCGGTGTCGGGTGCCGACTCCCTTGCGGTGCAGTTTACCTTCTGGCGCGCCTACCCTGGTGAGCAGTATGCGAACGCTGTGACGAGCTTGACTCGGCTATTGTACCACAGGGCGGAGTAGCTGTTCTGGGCGGGACGGCATCAAGAGGCTGACCTCTCGTCGAGGATGGAAGGGGTCTTCTGCTGCGTCGTCGCATGTGCGCGTGCGCGGTGCATTGCCTTGTCGGGTCACGAGTGTCTTTCGCCTCAGCGAGGTCTGGTGCGCAGCGTGAGAGGGATTCTCTATGGTGGATGGATCCTCTTAGTGGCTGCAGGGTAGCGGAATAGTATGAAGAGAGAGTAGAGCAGGACTGTTAGTCGTGCTATGCGAAGCAGGAGTATCGGGACGATTGGATGAAGTCATCAGTAGAACCAGGAATGGAACGAAGTGATGCAATGAAATGAATGTGTGGTGGAGAACACCAAAAGTAATCGTGAGATGCAGTAACACTGAGAAAGTGTGGCCTCAAACTAGAAGATGCGTGTCGCTAAGACATGCTTACACTACTTAATCCGCATGCTGTCGGAAAAGATGGCTAGAGTTCCGGATCCGCGGGGTACGGGGCGGCAGCCCTGTGCAGCTCGAGCGTAGCGACGCTGCTTAATACACGAGAGTGAATGATGAAATCATATTTTCTACTCACAGAGAGAAACCATGGCTATGCAACAACAAACACAGAGTGTGGGAGCGTGGCTGACGCCGAAGGTGGCATGGCGCGTGACCAACAGACGGACGAGGCGACGGCGAGCCAAGGGGTCGTCGTCAACGAAGTTCGTTGACCAAAGTGGATACGACAGGGAATAATTTGGCCTTTGGACGAATCAGAACGCCCATCTAGCGAGCATTTGGTGCGAGCTCTGTATGATTCACTTGTAAGATGGGCGTTGACCGTTGACGAGAGTGGGTCCTTGGACCTACCTCGCTACCCAATGAGAAGTGGGCCTGCTGGCCCAGTTCGAACACCGAAAAAGGATTAGTGTGCGTGCACACAATCCGCACATTCCTTGGAAGTACAAAGGAAGGGCTGGGGCCCTTCCGAAAGTGGGAGGAGGGCGACAATTCTTTCCTTCTATTTCCTCGGGCAGAGGACGAAGCAGCGCGGCAAGACAGGATGGGGAAGCACGGGAGTGCGAAGAGCTTGGGCTCGTATTTTCTCTACGTGAAGCGGCAGCGAGTACACCAGTGTTGGGCGTTGAGCCCGGAGCCGGAGGAGGGCAGAAAGGTTCTGCAGGCGCGAATGGGAGCCCGGTGGTGCTCCCACATCCGTGGTACGGTGGAGATGTTGGAACGACTGTGTGCAGCGAGGAAGGATGTGAGTCCGGACGTGCTGAGGCAGTTGGAGCGGATGCTCACGGGCGCTGTGCGCGCTTTTGCGACGGAGTTCCATATTCGGCTGGGTAGTCGTCTGTGGAGAGAACCCTGTGGGCAGGGTGTTTTTAAGCTGTCGCGCAGCGATGTTGTTGCTCTGATGGTGAACCGAGCGGGGCGGTTGAGCCTGGACCGGCACAGTGGGGAGCACGTGAGGGCAGTATGTGAGGATGCGGAGCGACGGGTAGGCTGTTTTCCTACGTTGGGTCGAGCGGGTGAGTGCGAGTGCACTTGCCACGGGTATGGGAACAACACGGAGGCGTTGTTTGAATACCTGACTCGGTTTGGGAGCGAGGAGGATGTCGTCTTCGCTAGCCTCGTCTCTGCCGCGTTTGCGGCGCAGGTGATCTGGGCGCGGGTTGGTAAGCCAGCGCGAGCGGGACTGATGGAGCGTGTCAGGCGTCTGTTCTACATCATGGAGCAGTGTCGTCCGTCGGGGAACGGGGCTCGTTGTTGGCCTGATGAGTTCTGCCGAGCTGGCAGCGTGCCTGGTGGTGTCTGCAATCAGGTTGCGGACTGCGGTTGCGTCTTTGGTGAGCGGAGGGATACTTTGCCTGATCCTGCTATGCTGCGTCGTGTAGTCGCAGATGGGAGCCTGGATTGAACGCTGGTGCGTTCCTCTCCTTTCCTGGCATGGCCCTTGCTGTGGTGAGAATACAATTCCTCCTGGAGGCTGTTGTACTTTCATTCGCGGAGCACTGTCTTCGCTTGCGGGGCAGGTGTACCGTAGTGGTCGCTAGCAGCGTGCTCAGTGGTGAGCAGTGAGTATGATTTTCCTGAATAGCTAGTAGCGATGGCGATTATAACAGTGGAGTGATTACTACCAAACTGGAGTAAGTGGTGCAAAGGATGCAGCGAGTTAGATACAGTGATGAGTGGAACCAACAATGAGCGGAGTGATTGAACTAAAAGGTGGAGTAAACCACCCAAAAACATCGTGAGATCCTGCAAACGCTGTGTGTGTGCAGCTTCATTCAATCCAAGATGCGTGCCTTCAAGCATGCTTTCGGTCTGGTACCGATAAATTCCTTAAAAAGAGAGCTAGAGTTCCGGATCCGCGGGGTACGGGGCGGCAGCCCTGTGCCACACGAGCGTAGCGACGTGGCGAATAACCACGGAAGTGAGATGATGAAATCATATTTTCTACTCACAGAGAGAAACCATGGCTATGCAACAACAAACACAGAGTGTGGGAGCGTGGCTGACGCCGAAGGTGGCATGGCGCGTGACCAACAGACGGACGAGGCGACGGCGAGCCAAGGGGTCGTCGTCAACGAAGTTCGTTGACCAAAGTGGATACGACAGGGAATAATTTGGCCTTTGGACGAATCAGAACGCCCATCTAGCGAGCATTTGGTGCGAGCTCTGTATGATTCACTTGTAAGATGGGCGTTGACCGTTGACGCGGGTGGGTCCCTGGACCCTACCGCTCCACCTATCAGAAACGGGGCTGGTGGCCCAGTTTCGTTACTCTTTTGGGCATGCAACTGGGTCAGTTGCTGCCTACTTGGCAAACTACAAAGGGAGGGTGTGCACCCTCCCCAGGGAGAGGCAGCGGAGCTCATTCTTCCCTCCTTTTTTATTTTTCGGGCGGAAAAACAGCAAGCAGAGCGACACTACGGAGTGCGACAACAAGAGGATCGTTGTCCTTTCATTTTCCTTTTCTTGTCCTTCGGCAGAAGGGGAGACGGAGTACGTGTGCATCCTCGAAGAGGTGTCTGCAATGATGCAGGGCAGCAGAGAGGAGGAGCGTGTTCGGTCCTCTTCGTCTTCCTCGTCCTGGGAGGAAGGACTGTTAGATGGGACGGAGGAGCCTGAGACCGGCGTGGGGCCGCTGGAAGAGATGAGGACAGCATCGGAGGAGGATGTCTCTGTTGTGAGTGATGTCGCATGGGATGCGGAGGTGAGAGCTAGGCGACAGTGCGTCGCTTACGAGTTGCGGCGCTTGGGTGAGGATACCCAGGAAGATGACCCGGTGGGGGACATGCAGAGGCTGCTGGACGTTAGTGACAGGTATACGAAGGCTGGATACTATTACTCCTGTGTGGAGGAGTGGCTGGCGGAGACAGGGCTCATGGAGAAGGAGGATGTCCGATCTTTTCTTAGTGCGTTGGACGGTACACGTGGCTGTGTAGCCGGCCTGTTCGACTGCGGCGAGAGACAGAGCAGGAGGGAGGAGTTCCTCACGATTCTTATGACTTGGCAGGCGGCTTTTGAGCCGTGCAGTGGTGGGACCAATGTTGGCCACCTGATACACACCCTGACGTCGAGGTTGGGTTGTCAAGAGATGCAGGACCTGGAGGAGCAGCCCGGGCGGGTGCGTCGTTTGCAGTATGTGCTGCGCACAGGACGGCCTAGCCGTGAGGATGTAGAATGTCCCAAGCTTGGGTTCAAGCTGGTCGTGGTAGATGAGGAGGATCTCGTCGGCTATTGGATACGGCAGTGCACGGATATGAGGGCTGCGGAGTGTGTCTTCGCGGACAGGATTGTCCAGCCTTTTCCTCTGGTGGCGCGAGCATTGTGGCTGAATTTGCGCCGAGGTGATGAGGTTGTCCCCGCCTTGGTACGCGAGTGCACGCGGGACGTGTTACGGCAGGGGAGATGCGTGTGTCTCTTTGAGGAGGAGCCGTCGTTTGCGACCCTGGAGCGTGCGATACAGGATGAGATGATTGTCGATGATGTAGAACAGTTTGTGGGTTCTCCTACAAGCCGTCGTAGACGTGGTAGCATGAGTGAGATGAAATGAACAGATAGTGCAGTGCAATGATGTGTGGAACAATCAAATGGTGTTGGAGCGAAACACCAAGAAGAATCGTGAGATTAGAGAAACACTGTGTGTGGCTGACTTCACATAAGCTGTGCGAGATGCATGTCCTAAAACATGCTTTTATTACTTAATCCGCATGCTGTCAGAAAAGATGGCTAGAGTTCCGGATCGGCGGGGTACGGGGCGGCAGCCCTGTGCCACACGAGCGTAGCGACGTGGCGAATAACTACGAGAGTGAATGATGAAATCATATTTTCTACTCACAGAGAGAAACCATGGCTATGCAACAACAAACACAGAGTGTGGGAGCGTGGCTGACGCCGAAGGTGGCATGGCGCGTGACCAACAGACGGACGAGGCGACGGCGAGCCAAGGGGTCGTCGTCAACGAAGTTCGTTGACCAAAGTGGATACGACAGGGAATATTTCGCGATTTGAGCGAATCAGAACGCCCATCTAGCGAGCATTTGGTGCGAGCTCTGTATGATTCACTTGTAAGATGGGCGTTGACCGTTGACGCGGGTGGGTCCTGACCCCCCGCTTACCTTCCAATCAGAACTGGGCCTGCTGGCCCAGTCTGGTTACCTATTTGGGACGAAACTGGGTCAGTTTCTACCACCTTCGAAGATACTAAAGGAAGGGCTGGGGCCCTTCCAAGAGATGGATGGGGTGCAGACATTCTCTTCCTTCTTTCCTTCATTCTTGGAGGAAAACAGCAGAGCGGCAGACGGAGTACCACAACAGGGGATCGTTGTGCACTTTTCTTTTTTTTCTCTTTCCTTGGAACCAGGATGGACGCTGCCTTCCGGAGGGCAGGTATCGTTGGGGACGAGGGATCTATTCGAGTCCTGACAAGGCTGGGCAGCCTTTACTTGGAGATGCGGGCACGGGTAAGTGCGGCTTCTATCTTGTCTGGGGAGACAGAGGTGCGAGAGCGGGACGGGGACTGGAGGATCGTTACTACTCTCCTTGGACGGAGTGCAGATGTCGGTGTGTGGTACCGACGGCTGGGCACTTGTGCCTCGCGGTGGTTCGTCAGGAAGGAACAGGATGGTCTCTTCTCTTGTGGCCAGGAGGGCGGAGATGTGTGGTCTTTGACTGTTATTGTTCTGCCCGAGCGGAGTGGGCAGGGTGAGAGTGTGCGTCAGTGGTTGCGTGCGCTAGCACAGGCGGGCGAGGGACGAGCTCTAGTGGAGAGTGTGTCGCAGGAGGACATGGGCGTCTGGTTGGAGCAACGACCTTGGTTCGGCAGTGGAAGTCAGTCCGACAGGCTGTCTGTGAGCCGCGAGCGGGGGCAAGCGGCAGTAGAGTCAGGAGCGCGAAGGTGCTGCCGTGAGAGGCGGCGTGGAGATGTTCGCCAGCCTTTGGCTTGCTTGAAGGCATGTGTGCCGAAACAGCCCAGTGCTTCCGACTTGCGGGCAGGAGGACAAGAGAACGAGGAGCCAGATCCCTAGCAGAGGGTTCTTCCGGGTGGATGCACGGGTTGTACCGTGGAGGTGCGTTGTCATGAGGGAGGATTCTTCTCTTGGGTGCTATTCTCTCTTCCCGGGAGAGGGAGAGGTGTGTTCAGACCAGGTAGGTGAGGTGGCGAAGCCTTTTCCCTTCTTTCCTCCTTTCTTCCTCTGGTGCTGTGCGCCGGAGAACATCGTGCGATGCATCGGTATTACCATGATCCTTGTAGGACAGGACGGTGTCCTTTACTCGGGCAGGAGGCTGTGCAACTAGGAAGTAGAACTGCAGTGAATGAAATGATCTGTGACATGAACAAATGAGCAAATGAAATGAGTGATGAATAGTAGACGAAGTGCATCGTGGAACAACCAAGTAGATGAACAATCAAATGAAATGTGTAGTGGAACAACCAGAAGAGCGGAGTGATGCAATGAAAGTAGTGTGCGAAACACCAGTAATCATCGTGAGATGCACTAACAGTCACAAGTTGTGGCTTCACCCCACAAAGATGCGTGCCTTCAAGCATGCTTTCGGTCTGGTACCGATAAATTCCTTAAAAAGAGAGCTAGAGTTCCGGATCCGCGGGGTACGGGGCGGCAGCCCTGTGCAGCTCGAGCGTAGCGACGCTGCTTAATACACGGAAGTGAGATGATGAAATCATATTTTCTACTCACAGAGAGAAACCATGGCTATGCAACAACAAACACAGAGTGTGGGAGCGTGGCTGACGCCGAAGGTGGCATGGCGCGTGACCAACAGACGGACGAGGCGACGGCGAGCCAAGGGGTCGTCGTCAACGAAGTTCGTTGACCAAAGTGGATACGACAGGGAATATTTCGCGATTTGAGCGAATCAGAACGCCCATCTAGCGAGCATTTGGTGCGAGCTCTGTATGATTCACTTGTAAGATGGGCGTTGACCGTTGACGCGGGTGGGTCCTGACCCCCCGCTTACCTTCCAATCAGAACTGGGCCTGCTGGCCCAGTCTGGTTACCCTTTTAGGGCTCTGGTGGGCAAACCAGAGACCCACATGGATTTACATAAGGGAGGGCTGAGGCCCTCCCCAGGAGAGAGCAAAGGATTTCTCTTCTTCCTTCTTTTCATTTTCCGGCGGAAAACAGCAGCGGGGCGATAAGAACGGAGTGAGGTGTTGCGGGAGCGGTAGGATACGTTGGTATGTGTTTGCCGGAGGTGAACGTCCTGGATGGATGCAGTGCACGGGGGTGCGTTGCAGCGCTGTGAGATGGCAGGATGCCGAGATAGTAGTCGTTGTCGGACGGAGGCTGACGTGACGGAGTGATACTTGCTAGTTGCAGGGCGAGGCTGTGGAACGATGTCTTCCGTAGGGAGCACGACTGGGAAGGAGGGGCCGAAGATTCGAGTAGGTCTTACCTTGACTATCCGACCTCGTGGGGCGGATGTTGGCGGAGGCCGTCAGGAAGTGGTCACGGCAGTGGCTAACGTTGTAGTCGGCGGGGCGACGAGCGTATTTCCAGGCACGCGGGGCGGTGCGATCCCGGGAGGGGAAAGGGCGACAGTCTACTACGAGGGGAGCCGAGGTCATGGTTGCGCCGGAGGGGCTGGTGGAAGCACAGGATGAGTCGGCAGACGAGGAGATTCCGGTGGAAGCGTTGATTCCTTGCGTGGAGCGGCATGATCACTAGCGATGGGGACGAGAGGCGTTCACATGTGGCACGAGCGGTCCTACCTGGGAGGACCTTTGGCGATGGTAAGAGAGCAGCGGTGGATGACAGGCATTACATATGCTGGCACGAGCTAATCATT